AAGACAGTTTAATACAGGCTCTGATCCACCGCCCCAGACTCGACGACTAAGCCTTGTTATCCAAGGAGGCCCGGTGAAAGGATACGAAGAGAGCTTCCGAGTAGTGGAACAAAGTGGTGTGGTCGATGTAGATCGTGAGGGCACGTCGTACGTCAAGAGTGTGCCACTTGCGCTTCCCCTCATGACGAGGAGACGAGCAGAAATCAGGCAAGGTTAACTATTGACCTCTGTGGAAGCAGCTATTCACTTTCGGTATGAATGTTGGGTCCAGTCTTAAAACGACTCGGTCTGGATGAAACACACATAAGTCATGAAAGGGCAGCCAAATCAGAAATATGTCTGGCAGATGTTATAGCCACCAAAAACAACATCTTAAAGGACAACAGTTTCAAAGAAGTGGATCTCATAGGTTCAAAGGGCGAGGAAGTCAGAGCCTATAGGACACGAGGCAAGTCCCAAATTGAATACCTATGGATGTCAGGGGGATGCAGGTTGAATGCTCCATGGAGAAATCTCTGTATCAAGGGATGAGAAGGTAGATGGTCGGAGGCAAGACCATCTAGGACAGAAGCCAAAGCAGCTACCTGTAGGTGTAACGTATTAGGGATAGGACCTTGATCAAGCCCCCTCTGTAAGAAGTCCAATATCTGTGGATGCTTTAAGTGGGTCAATAGTCTTGTTGGTACACCACAGTGCGAATGCCTTCCAAGTGACATTGTAAATGCAGTTAGTAGAGCTTCTGCATGATGCCTGAATGGTAGCAATGACATTGAGGGAGATGTTTTTGGCTGTTAAGGCTTGCCATTCAATCGCCATATGGTTAATTGTAGCCACTTGGGGTCGGGATGACAAATTGACCCTTGGTGTAGAGACAGGAGAGACCGTGGAATGTGCCATGGAATGGAGATTGACAGAGTCACTAGGTCGGCATACCAAGGCCGGCATGGCCAATTCGGCGCTAGCCACAATACTTCTGCCTCCTGCTCCAACTTTTTCCAAATTACTCTCTGAATGAGGGTAAGGGATGGAAATGTGTATAGGAGACTTTTGGGCCAATGGCACCTGAAGGCGTCTACTCCTTCTGCCATGGGATCCATGAACCGCAAGTAATACCTGGGTACCTGGTTGTTGTCTGCCGAGAATGCGGTCATTGGACAGAAACATCCTCTCCACCATGGTGTCTTTCAAGACCCTGAGGTGAAGAATGCGAGTGCCGGGAACGAGGTGACTCTTCTTGAGATTCACCCTGAACCTGTGATTCCGCAGGGTGTGAATGGTGAGAGCGAGATCCATTTCTACTTGAGTCGGAGATCTGGACAACAAGAGGATGTCGTCCAGGTAACAGAGAATCCTAACGGGGGATGACCTGATGTGGGTGACTAGGGCTGCTAGTACCTTCGTGAATACTCTGGGGGCTGAGGACAGCCCAAATGGAAGAGTTCAGTACTGGAAGTGCATCCCCCCATAAGAGAAATGGAGATATTTTCAGTGGTCTATGAAGATGGGAATATGGAGGTAAGCTTCGGTCAAGTCTACCGACGTGAGGAAGTCGCCTTTCCTGACTCCTTGCAGGATGGTGTGCAGAGAATGCATTTTGAACCACCAGTTCAACGATTTTAGATCCAAAATTGCTCTCCACCCCCTCTGAATTATTTGGTACCACAAATAGGCGGGAATAAAAACCCTGCCCTTCCTGATGGGGAGGAACCAGTTGGATGGCCCAGATCTCCAATAGGTGCTAAATGGCCTGTTCCATCAGTGCCCTCTTGCGAGGACATTGAGAGACCGGGCATGGCACAAAGTGTTCCTGGGGGATGGAGAGGAATTCCAGCATGTGACAGTTTTGAGAACCCAATTGTCTGTTATGATCTCTTTCCAGTGGTGGGCAAAGAATACCAGGCAGCCCCGATTGGAAGATAGTCCAGATAGTCATTTTTGTTGTGAAAATTGGTGGTTGTTTCCTCCACGGTAAGACTTCTTGGGGGGAAAACGCTGTGCGTTTTTGTTGGATCTGTCCTGGCGAGATCCCTGTCTGGGAGTGTAGGACTGATGTTGCAGGCAGGAGAATGACTTTCCCATGTCCGCCAGCTGAAAGGGTGACCTCCTGTAGTAAGGAGTGGGACGACTGTCTTGTTTTTTATAGATGCATGAAAGGATCTTGCGCTTGTCTTTAGATTCCATGAGGTACAGATCCAAAGGGGTACCAAACAATTGGGTGCCACTGAAGGGGGAGGCTGCCAGGCGCCACTTGGTACGAACATCCACCTGCCATGGCTTGAGCCAAAGCAGATGCCTGACTGTGACCGAAGAGGCCATGGCAGCATTGAGAGAAGAATCAGCCGCATATTCAATGGCTGCCCTAATCTTGTTGAGGTCCCTATGTGATCTAGTGTCAGTAGGAGAAATGCGCTCCTGAAGCTGTTCAATCCAGACTAGGGCTGCTCTGGAGAAAAAGGAAGTGGCAGTGGAGGCCCTAATGGCCCAGGCCCCTGCCTGATAGTTTTTGACTAAGGTTTGGTCTGACCTTCTCTCCTCAGGCTTGAGGACCTCTTCATGGGCTCCAGAGACCACAATAGGGGATGAAAGTGCTGCAACGAGTGCGTCCACTTGGGGAGACTCGAGGAATTTGGTGTGTTCTGGTGCATGTTATAGAGATGTTTGTCGAGGTTGGTTGGCTGTCGACCCGTGCCCGGGGACTCCCACTGCTTCTGGATCACGTTCAGGAAGATCTTGGGAACAGGGATCACCTCCTTTTCCACAGTAGGTTCGGTGAATGGGGTACTGGACCCTCAGTTGTAGCCGGTTCTGCTGGTTTTTCCTGTGAAGTAGAAACTGAAGCAGAAGATGGTAAGTTAGCAGCTTTAATGGCCTTAAGCAGTAGGGACTTAAAACGCTCAGTTTTAAATAATCCGGAAAAAGCCAGGGCATCTGGGGTGACCACCTCATTGTCAGACAGATCTGAATCCTGAAGATTATGTTGTTCACCGAGGCCTGAGAAGTAGAAGCAGAGGGCTCAGGTTGTTGAGCAGCTGCAGAAGATTTATGCTTGTGGCTATGTGATGGAGCAGGTTGGGGGCACTGTTGTAGGCCAGCAGCCATGACCTGTTTGATGATTTCAGCAATGATGGTTGAGGAGAGGTGTACATGGCTTGGGGAATCCCTGAACCATGCACCATAAGGAGGGAAGCCTGCTCAAAGGTGCGTTCCCTATTGTGAGGGACATTAAAGAAATTGCCTCTGTTGTCAGGTTCTGTAGAAGAAGAGGACTTAGAAGAAGACAATTCCCCATCTGAATCTGCCAGTGAAGAGCAAGGGCCCATGGGAGGCAAGACAGGTGGATCTGGGGAGACAACTTGGAGACCCTCGGGAGGAGGGGGGAGGGCTGGGCAGTTAGAACTTGTTGTTTTGGGGCCCTCTGAAATTGTTTCTCAACAGCCTTCTGCCTTCACTCTTCTGCCCTGGTAGTGGCTTTAGAGACTTGGGATTTACCCCTGAGGAAGGAGCCTCTTTGGCTTGCCTCTTCCTACTGCTGTTCACCCCTGATGGCCCTGCCTCCTCTAATCCTCTATCTGCAGACACAGCTTGGTCTGCCATCTCCTCCGACATAAATCAAGCCACAATAAAGATAGGCAACGATCTCACCCGTTTGATGGCCAGGCACTCCTGATCCGGTCCACCTGGAATGATCCTGGGTCACTGGGCACTCGGCTGCTGCAGAGTTCGTGCCTTTTTTAAAATGTCCAAAATGGCTGACTTCTTTCTTCTGAGGCTTTTCCAAGCCTCAAAATGGCCACCACTATCTTCACAGGATTTTCTGATCCGCACAATGGCCACCGACACTCAAAGTGGCTGGGTGCTCCACAGAATGGCCACCGACCTCGCCTGGAACCACTGCACGCAAAAAGGCTGGTCGTGGGTCTCTTTGGGTGCCCAGATTCCAGGAGTGCCTTGGAGAAACAGCTACGGAGCTGTAGCTCGTGAGCTGGCAGATCTGACTGCAAGGCAGGCTTCCTGAGTGAACTCGTGGCCACAGGCAGTCTGAATGGCTGAAGAGAGGCAGCCTGGGAGCAGTTTTGAATTTCTCTCCAATTTGGTCAGAAGAAAAAAATGATTTAGAAAGCCAATGTAAAGGAATTTTTTTTTGTACAAAATCGACAATTAATGCTATAAAGCTAAAATTTGGAGGAGAGATCTTTTGTGGATCAAAGGAAAGGAAGAGACGAGAGCCAGGACGTCCAAGAACTCACGTTTATTTTCAGGCAACTATTTACAGCAATTCAAAAGTATCCCCCGCTTGACATCTATTTAAACAGGCTGTCAAAGCAGGGGGACCAATGGGCGCGCTCCAGGCGTCTGGCAACTGATGACGCTGCACCCTAGCCAATCAGGGTGCCTCTAGCAGCTAGCAACAGGCTATGCTGCACCCCAGCCAATCAGGGCGCAACCTGGTCTGTTGCTGGCCTCCAGGTCGTATCTCAAGGACTTTATGAGTCCTCAACAAGATCAATTCTCACTGCTAGTCCTGGTTGGACTGAGTCTGAACTGGAGAGGAGCCACAAGGGCCCGATGACATCNATTTCTTGTGGGCATGCAGGGACTTAGACTGATGATGCATTTTACCCCTCCCTCCGGCTCATCCTGGTCATCTCGTACACATACAAGGCAGCTATGAGAACAGTTTAAAAGCAGGGAATCTTTTGGTTGTTAAGGCTGGCATCTAACATAGGGGAAAGAAGAAAACTGTAGTGATTTTCCTTGCTTATAGTGGGTTCAGTATTTTCCCCTTTCTTGATTAGTTCTGTCTGCCTGCCTATCTAATCCTTCATCTTTTATCACCTATCAAAGAATGAATGGATCAGATTTATAAATTGCCACAATCTCAATATTGTGGCAATATTGGCCCTGAAATACTGCACTCCTTAGTTACTTGTATAGCTAGGTTCAATATAGGTATGTAAGTTAGGTATGTATGATTAGTTTAAAAGTGTTTATGTTATCCTTCAGTTAACTGAAATCTATCTACAGTAATTTAATAGTCTGTCTGTAATATTACATAGTCACAGATATGAATTTGGTAGTAGCTGTCTATACAGAATATCTTTCTGGTAGATCTTTTCTTGGATCTTGCTGACATAAAAAATCCAAGGAATGGGAAGATTCAGTTTCAGAGGTTCCAGAAGTACTTGAAGGAGATCTCCAGATGCTGGATTTGACTTACCTCTAACCGAGTTCTGTCCACATCTTTGGGCAAGCGATTTTTTCCCCTAGTTGTCACCAAAAGCAACTCATAAGGATATATCTACAAAAGAAAAATATGATCCTGGATGAAATAATCAGAAAAATAAGAATCAGCTGAACATAGTTTTGAGAAAATGTATATCATATGTTTGGGAACTTCCATACCATCATTTTGCATCATTTTAGGATTTAGCCTTGGATTGATTGATCTCACAATATTTTCTATGTTCTATGGGAAGTGAGTCTGTTTCAGTTTATTGGAAATCACAGCCATGCTGGTATTTCCTACCTATTGAAATGCAACATCTCTATAAAACTCGTAAGGAGTCCATTTTCCCTTTGGGCAAAATGTTTGTCTAATACTGCTTTCTAGCACCTAGCCTTAAGTTCTGCTCATAGAGATTTAGCATCCTGTTTGGTAGTGTCATATGACCCTCATCACAGTGTACTTTTGGAAAGGTTGCAAAATTGTCAGCATGCTTAACATTTCGTCTTTACAAATTCCGAGGGTTTTTAAAAATTTCCACAGAGGAATAGTAGAAGATGGTTAGGAAGCCTTTACAGGGAACCAGCATTTTTCTTTACATTTTAAAGAAATAGTCTTCAGATAGTTTTCCATTATAATCTTTTGGGATTCTTTGTTTTTGAAACACTAAGCAATTTCACAGCCCATGATAGCTCAGCAGTTGGGACATTGGTAGCATGTCTTATTTTCCCTCTCCTATTAATCAGCTATGAAGAGAGTGAGTACTGATTCCCTACATTTTTTCCTGTGATTTGCAATCAGTAGAAGTGAAGATAATCATTGCAGAGTTCCCAGACTGCTTTGTGAAGGAATCAGGGTAAAAATGCTGGTGGATATGAAAAATTATTTATTTATTTACTAATTTAATTAGATTTAAGCACTTTCCAATTGTAACATGAATCTGGCAACTCAAATTTAATGCATGCCATAAGAGAAGTACAAGAATATTTTTGGAGAATTACAATACAGTGATTCTATTCAGTGTAACACTGATATTTACAGTTTCTATTTGCTCAGGATAGCAGCAGCACAATTGATGCCATAAAAATAACAAAATAACAAAATAATAACAAAATAATAACAAAATAACAAAATAATAATAAAATAATAACAAAATAATAACAAAATAACAACAAAATAATAACAAAATAATAACAAAATAACAAAATAA